CGCTGGGTTTTAAACACAGGCCAGTGTCCTACGACAAGCCCACCCTGAGAAACATTTACAGAGTCTTTGCTTCACATTATGATCCTCTGGGTTATCTGTTGCCTTTCACTACTCAAGCTAAACTTATCCTCAGGCAGTTGTGGGATAAGCAACACGGCTGGGATGATACAAACCTACCTTCTAAACTCCTTCAAGCTTAGACTGAATGGGAAGAAGAGCTTAAGTTCTTATCCCATGCGCCTATGTGCCGTTCAATGTCCATCCAGCAGAGGTCAGCCAAGAGGTGCACATTTTTGCAGATGCATCAGAACAGGCTTATGGTGCAGTGGCGTACATGAGAACTGAGGATGCCCATGAACAGGTACAAGTTACATTCATCATGGCTCTTTCGAGAATAGCCCCCAAACGACCCCTGTCAAGTTCACGGCTCGAGCTCTGTACAGCTTTGGTGGCAGCCCAACTGGCAAGTGTCCTGAATAAGGAGCTCACAGTGGTGGTTAAGCGAACTGTTCTATGGTCAGACTCTACCACCGTTCTTATCTGGTTGAACTCCCAGTCATGCCGTTATAAGATCTTCGTTGGGGCTAGAGTTGCAGAAATCCAGAAACTGGCGCTATGTGAATACTGCAAGTAACCCAGCTGATGATCTAACGAGAGGGACGACTCTCAAAGAACTTATAGAACCAAACCGGTGGTCCGACGGACCCTCCTTCCTCCTTCAGGGTTCTGACCAATGGCCAGCAAAGCCCAGCCCTGCAGCAAATGAAGACAAATCCGAGCTCCGGAAGTCTGTCTTCTGTGGCACATTGAATACTTCATCGACCCCTACATGCCCAGAAGACAAAGTTTACAAAACTTGGCAAGAACTCTTGGAGGAATCAGCATGTGATCTTCACGGACTACTGCCTTCCAGTACTCCCCCGACTGCTGAGGAGTATCGACAAGCTGAAACCATAGTTCTACGGCAAGCTCAGCAACAGTCTTTCCCGGAAGAATGCAGACTCCTAGCCGCTGGGAAGCCTGTTCTTTCCAGAAGTCGTTTACTCACTTTGGCTCCCGAACTGGACGTGTCTACCAGTGGGTGGCCGTTTACGATGTTCAGAGGATCTGGACAGCTCTACACTACATCCTATTGTCCTAGACGCCTTACACCCTTTTACCCAGTTACTCATCCAAAGATATGACCATGATCTACATCAGGGATTCCCAAAGTGTGGTGCGCGCACCCCTGGGGGTGCGCGAGCTGCCGCTAGGGGGTGCGCGAGGTGAAAAGTGTAATGGCTGCGGAGCTCAGAGAAGTCTGTCATATGTCACTATTAGCGTAGAAACTCATTTGTGGGTGGGCCAAAGAAAAAGTAAGTGGGCCCAATAAATGTAATTGAAAACAAGTATATTTTTGCGCGCGCGCGTGTCCTCCGCATGTGCCCTAGCTTCATAAAAACAATGCGCCGAGCTTCAGCACTCTGGCCTGCGCACGCCGATATGTTCCGTCGCGCGCGCGCGTGTCCTCCGCATGTGCCCTAGCTTCATAATAACAATGCGCCGAGCTTCAGCACTCTGGCCTGCGCACGCCGATATGTTCCGTCGCGTGCGTCCTCCGCATGTGCCATAGCTTCATAATAACAATGCGCCGAGCTTCAGCACTCTGGCCTGCGCACGCCGATATGGTCCGTATTTGATCATTTTTAACGGTGTTGGAGGAATCTGAAGGTGGCGAGTCATTCTGGCAGATTGTAATTAACACCTGTCTCGTGCAGGTGTTCTGACATTGTAAACCTCACACACAGAACATTGTGGATGTAACAAAATAACAAGAAATGATTCCCATTCAGGCTATTGACAGCGCGCTGAAGATCTGAAGTTCAGAGTGCGTCTTTCAGAGGTCAGACGCGTTCCGGCTGAACCACGGCTCACGGGTGCACATGTGAGCACATCTGGGCTGGGCAGAAGTCATTTTACAACATTGGTTTAAATAGCGCGAGACGCGGTGACTGGAGCGGCTGTGCCGCGCGCGCGCACGCACACAGATTCAATAAGCACACATGCTGCTTTAACTCCGGCGCGCCGTCAGACTGAAGGCAGAAATGAACGCTGCCTCCACCACGATAAAAACTTTTAAGAGGTTATTTTTCATTCAAGGTCAAATTAAGATATTAGCTTCTGGGATGAGTCGGGTCCGCTCCAGCCAGTGACTCCTCATGAACCTGACCACATCTCATGTTACTGCAGCATGTGTTGTTCCAGTCAGCGTGGCAGCGGATCGCAGATTCAGCCACACCATAAAACAGCAATAAGTCGGTCTGAGGTAAAAGTGAACATCATGGCTATATCTTGTCCCCTATTGACATTTGATTACGCACAAGTAGGTGATCAGCTCAGGTTTACGCAGAGCAGAAGGAAGGAGAGCGCTCTGGCCGCACAGGTTAAACGTTCCTACTTTAAGAAAACCGTTAAATTGCATTGTTTATGTGCTACCTGGGCACTCTAAATATTTATTTAAAATGAAATCAAAGGAAATTGTAATGGTATCGAATGCTTATTAATTACTATTTAAAAAATGAAAGTGATGGGGATTTTTTTTAACCCTGTCTGTTTAGCTTGACATCTGATATATACATATATATATATATATGTATATATATATATAGAGCCATGCCCCGATGTGGGGGCGGGGGTGCGTCGACATGGTCGGGACATAGAAGGGGGTGCGCGGCTAAATAAGTTTGGGAACCACTGATCTACATCATCCAGGTCCAGAGCGAGTCCTGGCAGAGTTAAGGAGGTCGTTCTGGATTCTCAGAGGAATAGAGGCAATCCGCAAATGCCAGCGGACATGCCCTGACTGTCAACGTTGGAGGGGACAACCATCTGTCCCAAAGATGTCAGATCTACCTCCTGCTCAGCTGAGATTGTTTAAACCAGCCTTTTATTCGACCAGAGTGGACTGTTCTGGGCCGGTGCAAGTTAAGATGGGAAGAAGACATGAGAAGAGATGGGGAATCATTTTTAAATGTATTACCGCGAGGGCTGTGTATCTAGAGCTCCTGAGTAGCCTAGACACTGATGCATTCCTCATGGCTCTGAGGAGGTTCATTGCCAGAAGAGGAACAGCTGCTGAACTGTGGTCAGATCAAGGAACCAACTTCAGAGGAGGAGAAAGAGAACTTAAAAAGTCCTTCTCACCATCCTTCTGGAGGTGGAATCCATCCTAAACTCTAAACCATTAGGGTATGTTTCCACAGATAACACTGATGTAGACCCAGTGACTCCCAATAGTCTCCTGATGGGGTGGCCTCATGGGTCATTGCCTCAAGTGGTCTACCCGGAGTCTGAGAACCTCAGCCGTAGACGCTGGCGACACTCCCAGATCCTGGCCGACCAGTTCTGGGTTAGGTTCATCAAAGAGTACCTTCCTAACTTGCAGGCAAGACTAAAATGGCAATCTTCTTCTCCTGAGCTCCTGAAGGAGACAGTTGTCATGTAGGTGGACAGGAGACAGTTGTCATGTTGGTGGACCCACAGTTGCCACTAGCCTTTTGGCCTGTTGGATATGTCATTAAGACCCACCGTAGTGATGATGGCTGGATAAGGTCTGCAGATGTGGACATCAAAGGACATGTGTACACCAGACTGGTTGCTAGATTGGTAGTTCTTCCATCGCTACCTTCAGGAGAAGACCAACCAACAACCAAACAGGCCCCAAAATAATGACTAACATGTTTATTATAGCAAATGTGTTAACACATTTGGGGGCGGCTGTATGAAAGGTTCAGAATTTCATAATTTACCTTTGTTAAATTTGTTGGTTTTATTTTGGTGGGAATTCAGGAAGTGACATGCTTTTATTTTGAAGAGCCTTTCACCGTGAGCTCACTTCCAGCCCTAGAATTTTCCCTTAATTTCCTTTTTGGTGAGTGTTCCTTCATTCTCCTGCAAGTCATGTTGATGTTGACAGCATTATGTTAATGCAAGAAATTGAGCCACTTTACTTCATGTCTAAGACTGCATTATTAAGTTCCTTTGTTTAATTATGGAATATTAGTTGAGTACTGAAGTACTGAAGATTTTATGCCCAACACGTTTCTTTCCTTTTATAAACATATTTAAAGTTGGTTAGCCTTGATGTTAATGACATGAGGAGTTATTTTGTTATATTTCATTTCTAGTTTTTACCTTATTTTTGCTCCAGTGAGTAAAGGCTGACAGTGTCACTTGAGTGAGAGATCTTAGTTAGCCACAAGAGGGTGCTATTGTTTGAATTTCTCTGGACTGTAAGTTGGTTAATTGAGATAAATGTGTTTTGCCTCATTCCCCCTTTCTGTATTGAATGAGAAGGTTCATTAGTAGTTTATTTTAAAAACGTATGTGACAGATGGTTAGTTCAGTGCATAGAGTGCTGATATATTGGATAATTTTATGTTCTGTAAGAGAATTTGCTGTCACCGTAATTGTTTCTTATCATGATCATTTATTTATGTTTACTGTTTCAGACTGTTGTCAATGCTGTTAACGATGATCATCAACCAAGATTAAAGATTTGGATCTACATTAAAGGACGCATCTAGCCTCTTCCTGTATTCTAACCGATACACCATATTGATAGCCGCCTCACCTGGAAAGAGCTAGCTTTAACCAAACCCTCCTTTACAGCAATGTTTTTTAGCTCGTAGTATACACCATTGCGAGGTGGCAGCAGTTTTTACAGTCTTCATTCTGACGAGATTTCATGATGACACTGAATGTGTCTTAGAAGCATCTGGCCTGAGTTTTTCAACTAAATTCAGTCTTAAATATCGCAGATATCTTGCTTTTAGTAGTGTGATATATTGTATCGTCTATCCTCCTTTGTGATCTATATCGTAGTGCCAGATTTGTGCCTACACATGCCCTTACGAGAAACACTGGTGAAAAAAGTTTTGAAAAGGGCATCATAGTTTCTACCTCCTCATGCACATCGACTAATCCTCACTCATTTGACTACTCTGCTCTGATCTGAACAGAAGGACCTACTCATACTCCGAGCCACAGCTGTACAGCCAGAACAGCGGGGGGAGCTACTTTGACACACAGGGCAGCGCGTCTCAAGTGTCCACTGTGGTGACGTCTCACGGCATGACCAACAATGGAGGAGGGAGCGCTGGAGGGATGAGCATGGGTCTGGCGGGGGGTCAGGTAATCAGCAGCAGCTCCGGGGCTTACTTGATGGACAATGCCGGACCCCACCCCGCCACCCAGACTGCACGGGCCTCCCCAGCCACTGTAAGTTGCACAGCCCCTGTAGAAAAGGACCCTTTTAGGTTATTTTCTGCTGTGTTGAAATAAGGAATGGAGTAAGATTTTTGTTCGACACCATAAGGAACAGGATATATGTCCCTGGATACATAAAGTGTTGCATCTATTGCAACGCTACTGCATTCATCTAATGTTTGTATCCTAAAGCCAGACTGCTCCTGTTTATATCGTAGCTGTTATGCATTTGTGTAATGGACAGGTGTTCCTGCTCTGCTTTGGGTTAGCGCTGCTTGCTTTGGGATCCTTTGGGAACACTTTTTTTCCCTTTGCTTTTGGCCAGTAATATGAACACATCTTTAGTTTTCTTGCTTTGTTTTGATTCCCTCCCCCCTCTCTTACATTTTTGTTGTCCTGTGCTTCGTGGTTTATCAGATTGAAATGGCGATTGAGACACTCCAAAAATCTGAGGGTTTATCCAGTCAGAGAAGCTCGCTACTCAACAGCCATGTAAGTTGCTTTTCTAAATGCCGGCCCTCGCCTAAGCCTTAAGTTTTGCAGATCGCTCTCTCTTACTGTTTCCGCCTTTCTCGATTCCTGTGCTTTGAAGCTTTTGTTTTAAATTGTAAGCTTGCTTTTGCAAAGCTCCGATGCAGCAACTTTGAGCTATAACTGAGGGTTTGGTGGACTTAGGTGTGAAAAAAGTCAATTAAAAAGTACCCATCTCGTCTCTCAGCTTCAGTGGCTGCTGGACAATTACGAGACAGCAGAGGGAGTAAGTCTACCACGGTCCACCCTCTACAATCACTACCTGCGCCACTGCCAGGAGCAGAAATTAGACCCGGTCAACGCAGCCTCATTTGGTAAACTCATTCGCTCTATCTTCATGGGACTCCGTACAAGGCGTCTTGGGACAAGGTTAGAGGCTTCCATGCTTGGTCTCTGCGTTGAACATGTGACTCAGTCAGTGTTTAATGGTTTGTTTTTGTGTTGCAGAGGGAACTCCAAATATCATTACTACGGTATACGAGTGAAACCAGATTCCCCGCTCAATAGACTCCAAGAAGACATGCAGTACATGGCCCTGAGACAGCAGCCTGTTCAGCAGAAGCAGAGGTACGACACCGAAACACTTGCTGTGGCTCAGTTCTGAGCTGTTGGGGATGCTAAAGGTTGGCCTTGTCACTTCAGGTTCAAGTCAGTGCAGAAGTTTGACAGCGGCTCCGGAGACAATTACACAAGTGGAGGCCAGCACCATCCAGGTGCTGCAGAACAGACGGTTATTGCACAGAGCCAGCACCACCAGCAGTTCCTTGGTCAGCTGATTTGCAAAATACTAAATCTTTTTTCTTCCTTCAGATCAGGTTTATTATTTTATTTCTCTGCAGATGCATCACGGGCACTCCCTGATTTTGTAGAGCTGGACCTGGGTCAGAGCAATACGGAGAACGTCAGCCCAGAGGATGTAAAGGCTCTTCAGTCCCTTTACAGAGAGCACTGTGAGGTTAGGAGAAGTCCTTTCAGTTTTCTTTCAACAGAACCACATCAGTCAGGAGGATTCCTTAATTAAAGCAAACCAGTGTCCACGATGCCACTACAGTCATACTTCGTGTCTTCATGTCTAATTCCTTTTTTTATACAGAGATAGGCTTGGTTTTTTAATCATCTTTTCTTATTTAAGCTAACAAATACAGGTCATGAAGTTGTTAACACTGTACTTATATTTTTAAAGCCTTGAAAAGTAAAATGCATTTCAATGTTTAATTAATATGTTCTGTTTTGCAGATTTCATTCTCTTTATTTAGTTTAGCCTATTTACTCGAAATAACAAATACAAATGACAACATTAAATAACGACACATGCTCTTATATCACATTACATACTGTACACGAGTTTAAAGGAAACTGTAGGAAGAAAAATGTAGCTGAAACCTGCTTCTGATTCTCATTGATTACAAAATTATTTTCTTTTTTTTTAATGGCCATTAAATTTATCTAAATATATCAAACTCTTAATTTTTACCTCAGTATTACATTATAATTTGCCATTTTTGCTTCATAAAGCGTTTTAAATAGATTTTAGCTTAATGCATGGAGAACTGAAAAAACATTCTTTAATGAATATTTCTGATCATAATCAGTCACTCTTTTTCATGCTGGCTGAGCATGAAAACAGTCTCCTACACCTATCTCCTGCATTAGCTTCTGATAGAAAATAGACGGTGAATCTCTGGGATTTGAAAATCCTCACAGATCTACGTCACTTGTGGACTCGCCCATCTTGACTGACAGCGGGGAAGGTTGTTGGTTTAGCGTCCAGAAAATGGCAGAGAACATCTCAGGTAGTTGAAGCTAACTGTTAGCATTAGCAACTCCAACACACAACAGAGCTCCTCCAAGCTTGTGCTATTTGTGGAGATAAAACATCAGCATTGCAAGTCAGTGGTAGAGTTGCGTTGCTGTTGTCCAATCTGAGGCAAGATGTCCAAATATCAGGAAATAAGATTTATAATCCTGCAGCACTCTTGTTCGTGCTGATCCTTTTTTTTTGCCCCGAGTACAGCTTGCAAGGCATTCATGCCCACCGGAGACCACTACAAATTAGTTTGCCTCACCTTTAAACATTTTTCAACTCCTCATCCAGATTACACATTTGCTCTAATGAAGTATGCATAGGGGTACTTTTGAAATCACAATAAATTGTAACTTTATCCCGATCCAAAGAAATGGGAGTCCCAAAAGTGCCTCTGGGTTGATGTGTGCGTTTTGTTTTTATTTGAAAACTCGTCCCTTTATTCTCTGGATGTTTTTCAGGCTATCTTGGACGTTGTGGTCAACCTCCAGTTCAGTCTAATCGAGAAGCTGTGGCAGACATTCTGGCGTTATTCTCCCCCTGACACTGTAGAGGGTGCCACTGTAACAGAGAATCGGTGAGACCGAATAATTAATGGTACACATTTAGCTGTATAAATAAATACGTGATTCGTGTTGTAACTATGACACTTGTGTCTCTGCAGCAGTGTAAGTGAGATTGAAGCGCGGCTCCCTGAAGCACAGTTATTGTTGCTGTGCAGAAACGAGGCGGTTCTTAAGTGGATGAGCACCTGTGACCATTTAATGTACCAGGTCCTCGTGGAGATTCTTATTCCTGATGTCCTGAGACCCATTCCCAGTGAGCTGCAGTCACAAAAGTCCACTCGTGCTTCAGTAACTCCTTAATTCTGGTTACATGAGTGAACTGTTTACTGTTTTTTTTCCCGCTTCAGGTGCCTTGACTCAAGCCATTCGCAACTTTGCCAAAAGCCTGGAAGGGTGGCTTAGTAATGCCATGAATGCCATTCCACAGAGAATGATCCAGACCAAGGTGCTGTATTACTGGAAATAAACGTGTATTATTCGTATATAGAATAAATCTGTGATGAATCCTGTGTAACCAACCATGTTCTGTCACAGATTGCCGCTGTTAGTGCCTTTGCGCAAACGCTGCGCAGATATACATCTCTGAACCACCTGGCTCAGGCGGCACGCGCTGTGTTGCAAAACACATCACAGATCAACCAGATGCTGAGCGATCTCAATCGTGTTGACTTTGCAAACGTGCAGGTTAGAGCACTTCTTTGTGTTTGTGTCTTTGTATTTATTTAAGATTTTCCAGCTAATTTAAGTTTGTTTCTATGTAAAACTTATAGAGATATTTACTGTGAAATAATCAGATAATTAGTTTCAATAACTAATGTGAAATAGTTGTGTGAAGAATTATAAAATAATAATGAATCATAAGGAAATTTGAGCGATTGGATTTGTTCTTTAAGAGGTCCTTCACTAAGAAACCATTTTTACTTATTATTTTTGAAAATGAGCAGTCTCTCTGATTAACATGCAGGCTGAACATGAAAAGTCTACACATGGCTTCTGATATAAACTAGACGGTGAAACTCCAGGATTATAAAACCCTGACAGATCTATGTCACACTGTCACTTAGCCTTCATGGACTCGCCCATCTTGACTCGATGGGGAAGGCTGTTGTTGGTTTAGCGTCCAGGAAACAACAGAACACATGTCGGCTAGTAGAAGCTAACCATTAGCATTAGCAGCATCACCACACAGCAGAACTCCTTCAGGCTTGTGTTATTTGTGGAGATAAAACATTAATGTTGCAGAGCTAACAAGAGTCATGTTGCTGTTAGCCAGTCAGAGGTGAGATGACCAAATAAGACTCCAAATCCTGCTGTCTAAAGCTACGTTCTCCTCCAGCTGAATTCTCCTTGCTGAAACAGGTGCATCTGAGCTGCCCATCCACCTCCTCCCCACCCCCAAGTACGACTTACAAGGCATTTATTCTTACTAGAGACCACTGCAAATGGATAAAAATATAAGTGAAGGACTTCTTTAAGATCTGTTTTGGTTTTGGCTCAATGATCTTGAACGACATGAAGTCTATTTCTCTGAACAGAGTGTGTTCAGGAAGCCGAGCACATGAAACAATCCTTTTGAAAGCATTTATGTGAAGCTCCTGCTCCTCTCTCCTTGTTGTGGTTTAGGAGCAGGCATCGTGGGTGTGCCAGTGTGAGGAGGGCGTGGTTCAGCACTTGGAGCAGGACTTTAAGGCCACGCTGCAGCAGCAGAGCTCTCTGGAGCAGTGGGCAGCCTGGCTGGAGAACGTGGTCACTCAGGTGCTCAAGCCTTACGAGCACAGGCCCAGCTTCCCCAGGGCAGCTCGACAGTTCCTGCTGAAGTGGTCCTTCTACAGGTCTGGAATCTGAAACCCCTCACACACACACACACACACACATAAAGATCTAATGTTTACATGTTTTTCTGTCTGTGCAGTTCTATGGTGATCAGAGACCTGACCCTGCGCAGTGCTGCCAGCTTCGGCTCCTTCCACCTGATCCGCCTGCTTTATGATGAGTACATGTTTTATCTAGTGGAGCATCGTGTGGCTCAAGCTACAGGAGAGACGCCCATTGGTGTCATGGGCGAGGTGAGCATTATGGGCTGTTTTTCCTTTTCCGTTTTCATTCTGTTTCTGAGTAATTTAACCGTGCTCCATGAACAGAGGACGAATCGTGTGTTACTGGACTTATCAGTGTGGATAAACAACTGATGTCTTCTGTTTGCTTTTTCAGTTTGACAACCTCAACAACTTATCCCTTACTAGCATCGATAAAGGTAAGGCAATCAGGGTGAATCTGTTTATGTAAAACCTGCAAGTGTTTTAGCCATCAAAGGTGCCGTCAGAGATTTTATTTGATTTTTTTCGAACATTTTTGGCAAATTGCTTGAAAAGCTCTTCACAGTCTGATGGCGACCAATAAGTTAAATAATTTGTCGGGGGGAAAAAAGAATAATTTTAATCACCTCTGAAACGTACAATCCTGTGGAAACCTCATCCAGTCCAGTGCTGGTCCCCATTCGAAATGATTGCTCCTCTGAATTTCTGTCACCAAACTGCACATAATACCCTCTGTGCACAAAACGCACGTTCTTGGCAGAGCGGCCAACAAAGCACATTGGCTGATGTTCGGTTTACAGTTGGTTCTGGAATATGCCTACAGAATAAACAGATCAACAGATGATGCCATCTCTACCACCCTCCACACTGTTCTGGCACACCTGGAACAACCAGGTACATACGCAAGGCTGCTATTTGTAGACTACAGCTCTGCATTCAGCAACAGCCTCCCCAGCAGACTATTCCACAAGATGTCTGACCTTGGCCTCGAGCACAACATCTGCCTCTGCATACAAGACTTTCTAACAAACCGACCACAGTTTGTTGAGTTAGGCCACCACCATTCCTCCTCCCTGGCCCTCAGCACGGGAGACCCACAAGGCTCTGTGCTGAGTCCCTTCCTGTTCTCCCTTTACACACACACACACACACACGACTGTAAGCCCACCCACAACACCATCATTACATTTGCTGATGATACAACTGTGGTGGGCCTAATCAGCCAGGGAAATGAGTTAGCTGTGTTCTGAGGGCTCGCTCATGAGAGCGATAGTTAGGGACCATCAACAAATTTCTAGTCATTAGGAAAAAATGTTTTTACTGCTTTCAAATGAATTAATTGACTCAAAATCAATTCTCAGTTGTGTTACTAAACAGAATCAACAAGACAACCATTTTTAACATATTTCATACAATCTTATCTTTTTTATTAATATTTTTATGAGAAATTATGTATTTTTCTTCAATAGCTTCTAGGTAAATTGATCTAAATACTCAAAACCAATTGTGTTACTAAATTAGACACACCCCCTCCCCGACAGCTCACCACTGTGGCTTAAAGAAATCCTAGAGGAAACCCTGAAGAAAGAATACTGCACACAAAATATCTCAGAAATATCCACTCCTGCCTCCTCCATCTGCCTCCGTAAGGTTTAATACAGGGCTGGATTAAAGCTGTAATAATTTCACCTTGTATTTCACAATAAATGATCAGAAGAAAACAAAATGCCAAAAAAAGTGTCTGTAGTCAAATAAGTGTAATAAAGTGAGCAGAAAACTCATGTAAAACATCCTTCAACATCATTTGAAGCTAGAATAACCATTAAAGCATCAGAAGAAAATATGATCAGAAAAGCTGACTCATGAAACAAAAATACGTCTGTTGGAAAAACAGAATAAATTGTGCGTAAATGAGCTGCTTTTCTTCTGCGTAGATGAGACGAGCGGGATGGACAGTGACTTGGAAGAGGATGTGGAGGAGTCTGGGGAACCGCTCCCCAAACGGGAGAAGTCGGAGCATGAGGTAATCCAGGTGATCCAGGTCGGGGCGCTAGAAGACGGGATCCACCCCGTGGTGGGAGTTGTTCAGCAGAGTGTGCTCCACTCACTGCCACAGCCCCCCCAGGACCACACCGACCACATCCTAACCTCGTCTGTGGGGACTCCCACCATCCGCCACTGCAGCACCACCGGCAACACGTACGCCTCTGTTTGAAGGTCCAAGGCTCACCTTGTCTGCCTAGTCTAGCTGTCTCACTCTCCACACACACACACACACACACACACACACACACAGCTCTTTTTCTCTCTCTCTCACTCCTCCAAGTCTAGATGTCTGCATTGTTTCCATGTGTTGTCTCTGCACTTGTGTGGACTTGTTCTCCTGCCCAGCCTGGTCAGTGGAGGAGTGACACTCCAGCCAAGATGTGCCCTGTCCTTGTCTGACTGTTTGGATTCTGGATGTGTTAGTCATCCTGTCCGTCTGTGCTCTAGACACGGTGCGGCAGCCGGTGGAAGGGACCGGGAGGAAAAAGGACTAATTCGACCTGTTAAAACGTTTCCTCTTCAGACATGACTTACTGCTTCTGTCTGTGCACACAGATGGGCTTGATTCTGCCAAACTACTGATGCCTCAGAGCTCAAATCCATGTCACCAGTCCCAGGAGAGCAATCTCACCCGCCCACTGTTTTATATTTCAGTTGGTATTAGTCAGATTTCATGGTGCTATGACTGTTTTTGTTTTCTCATTTATTTCAGCTGCCCCTCCTGATTTGAGTATATTTTGTGCACCCTGATGGTTGATGCTCTTCTGATGTGAGACTAGCTAGCAAACAGACTTTTAGTTTACATTTAATACCGGATCACAGGACGGTTCGGTTTGGTAGTCATGTTTGCTACATGCACATAAACATTTGCAACTCTAAACCACAAAAATGACACAAAAAAATCAATACTGCTGCTGTTGCATTTAGCATTGAGATGTCAAAAAACAAACAGTGCTAGCTCTTCTATGCACCCTGTGCATAATGCTTGCCTTTTTTTTTTTTTGTAGACGCTTTTTAGTGTGGTTTATGGACACGTTCCCCTGGTTTAGCGCTTTCTGTCTTAATGACATTTCTTACGTTTGCAGTGGACCAAAAATAACAAACCAACAAGCGGAAGCTAAGAGTGAGCCGTCTGAGCCACCCAAAAGATATATTTTATTTTTAAATGCCGTTTCCTGTCCCGCAGTGCCATGTTGCAAAGCAGAGAGAATGTCAGGGATTCAATGTACCTCGGCTTTATTCTAGTGCCTTATCCTTGAACGCAGCTGTCCGTGTAGTCCTGACCCGTGTGCTGTTAGAGCGCCCGCAGCTCCTCCGCATCGTCCCAGCCGCAGATTTGGTTTTTTTCTGGTGACTTGTGGCTGGATTTGGGCTGGCTCATCAGTGTTGGGGTCTGTGGGATGCAGGCGCAGACACACGTTTTTTTTTTTTTTTATGTTATCTGGATCAGCTTTTCTAAACTCCTAGTCTTTAGCCTTGCTCCGACCCTCACTCTGCCTTCTCGAGAACTATTCTTGCATTAGCCTTTGTCATTAGATGAAGTGTGCATGTGTCCGTGTATGTATGTATGTATGTATGTGTGTGTGTGTGTTTGCGCGCGTGTATGTGTGTTTGTTTGGACACATCCATCAGTCACCCTACCTCAAACCAGTGGTGCCAGCCCTTTGATGCGTGCAGCACAGTCACCAAACCTATTGCACACACACACACACACTCTCTCACACACACACACACACACACACACACACACACACCACTGTACTGCACAAATCTCAACGTGATGGAGAAAAATCTGCATTACTTTTCTCTCACCTCTGATACATTTTCAGTTTTATAACCCGTAAAAATAAATTCCTTTGTTCCCTGTTTGAAGTTCATCTTTGTACAGTGGACCAAAAGTAGATATTTTCTAATATTCAAAGAGATATAGAGATATATATGTATAGTATATAAAATGCTGACACACTACATATATTTGTTGCTTTTTATGTGTTTTTGATCTGATAAGACGTGAATGTTTCTCTGCGGTAGCTCATCTGTAATTAGCTTATAGACTGTGAAGTGTGAAAGGTGTCGGTCGGGACTCACTTCTGATTTTGTAGAACTATACTTGAACTGTTCTAGCCTTCTATGTCGTGGCGAATGTTGAGATTAATCCTCTAAAAATAGGAAACTTGTTGCTCCATTTATAATGCTCGTTTAAATGATCTGTATCATTTTCCTTAAAAAGTTAATTTATTAATATTTATTGGGTTTTTTTTTTTGTTGTTTTTTTTTTCTTTTGGGTCTTATGTTATAATGGTCTCTGAGGAAGAATCGTAAATTACTCAAATGACAGATCCTACTGTACAGAAAGTTTTTGTTCCATCTTTGTGGATTTAAAAAGGGGCACTGCGTTTGCTGTAATCACTACGTCTTTGAGATATTAACAGTGCACTGGATTTTTCCCCTTTTTGTGGGGTTTACGTTGTGTAGGTGGGAAAGTGCAAATACATCGTCTTAATTAGGCTACTGGGTCAGCAGGTGTTTTGGTTGAACTCGGGCAACCTAAGCCCAGTTTCCTCCTAGTTTATACTTTACTTCTATCATGTTGGCTTGAAATGTTCAACCCGATCTAGGAACTTTTGTTTCCAGTTAAATTTTTTTCTTATATAAAAGGCGATTTAACTGCACATAAGTTGCTGTAAGCTGCAGACTTTTATTTTCTATTTTGCATCTCCGTTATGAACTTAAGACAGGACACATCTTAGTGTGAACCTAAATTCACATTCAGGTTCTCAAGTGCTCACAATAGCTAATAAGTAGGGATGTTCGATATTGGCTTTGTTACCGATATCCCAATATAGTCTAACTCTTGATTTCCGGGACTAATATAAAACAATACCAATGTATGCGGGGTCCTCCCTCATAAAGAAAACTAAATTGTTTTAGGCAACTAACATCACAGATAATTCCATCCTGCATAATTAAACTTTAGGCATTAAACCTAGTTTATACTTCTGTGCGCAGAGGCGCAGTGACACACGGTCGCCACAAGGGCTCTCTGTTAGGCATGCAAGGACGTAGGAGTAGTTGAATTTTATAATCTATCCATCAGACTCAACAGAGAGTGCATGTCTGTGATTGGTCAGCCCCCAGCTCGATTCCACTTCCTTTAAATTCGTCAACAGCGCCAGCTTGTTCGCTCCCGTTGAATTATTTGTGAGAAAAGCTTTTGTCCCTCGAGATCAAGCAGTTCCAGCTCAATGAAAACTTGCTCTGTGTGTGTGTGTGTGTGTGTGTGTGTGTGTGTGTGTGTGTGTGTGTGTGTGTGTGTGTGTGTGTGTGTGTGTGTGTATAAAAACTTGCTGATGAAGTATAAACTGGGCTTCGCTCTGTGCTAAATATCACGGCTACCTCAGTTTAAGTTAGGTCAGTGGTGTGTATAAAATGTGCATGGCGTGTACAACTTGTCCTTGAAAGGTTGAAAACCCAATTTTACATGTTAATGCCACTATTGGCCGATAATATCGGACATCCCTACTTATGTTTTACACTACGTTCTATATGTAACCTGATCATCATGTTGCACTCAGTATTCAAATTATTTAAAAAATTATGAAAAATGGCCCAAATTTTGTACAAAATCACGAGTTCTTGGATTTGAAGTTATTTATTTTCCCCTGTGGTATGTTTATCATTATGCTTGATCGTTATAACTAATGTTCTTTTATTTAATTTAATCTCAACCTTCTTAAACAGATGGTGACGTGTATTGTTTTGGGCCTAAGTGGCTCTAAGGGTGTTTGTTTAAATCACATTTGTGTGTTGATTTTTTTTATTATTGTTTTGGGATCGTAAGTGCTTTCGGCTCCTGCACAGATGCCATTGTGCTGCAACAATCTACGCTCCCACCAGAAAGTGGTGTAAGCTGCCTGGGTAACACTGGACTGATGGTGATGCTGCCAACGCTGCTTGTTTTGTTTGTGACAGATGTTTTAGCGAGAGAATGCCACCTCCAGCTGTTAATGATATAAGCTAGAATCGCCTCTTCATGTGGGAAATGCGGCAGCTTCTCTGAACCATAGCAAACTCCGGTGCCTTGGATTTCACCCGGACCGCAGCAGAAAGCCCTGGGGGGGGGGGGACTACTGGGTCTCTGGTGGGACACCACAGAGACCTATCCCTGACTACTGATTACACACACTTAACTATTTACACCTGCAAACTACTTTTAAATGTATAAAACTAGTAAATGCACCAGGAGAGTTCCCGTCGGTGAAAAAAAGGCTCTCCGAGATGGTTTCTCACGATCGTGATTTCTTTTGTCGGATATTTTCTAAACGCTGTGACCTGTTTGAGATTTGTAAGTGCCATTTGACAGTTTAGTGAGTCGTGGCCATCTGTAGCACGCCGCTTGATGCTAGCACAAGCATTTTAGGTGGTGGCATTTGGAGAAGGCTTTTTGTTTTTATTCTTCTGACAAAAAAATGTGTATATCAAAAACTGAAAAGGTATATTTATTTGTGTACTAATTTGTTCTTTTAGTGAACCTTTTATGATATGTTGACTTAAGTGCTTTTGTGATTTCCTTTTTGGTTCCTCTATTTTGGATAATGTATAGTATCTGATATAATATATACACACAGGATTCATGTGACTTTTTTTGTGTGCCGTTAAGTTTGCTTCATACAATGTATATTCTCAAATTGGCAAGCGAAACGATGTGTGTAGGGTGGTTTGTATTGTGTATTTTACATGAAAACGACGACTAATGGGGGACTTTTATATTTACAGAGACATCATCATTTAGTGTGTCGTATTGATTATAGAAACTATTAAAGACACATGTAGTTTTGTTTTCTGAATATTTCAGATCTCAGCTCAGGCTAGCTTCTTTGTGTTGTTTTCTTACGATTTGTGACTCGTCTTTGCAGTAATAAACGTTTTCTTGTTCAGAGTTTGTGTCCTTTCTCTTGAGTTTGACTCGCACACTAAAAAGTGTTAGCCCATTACATTTTATTGATACATATAAACCTCAATATGTAGTTTACATCAGTTTAAAGATCAATGAGCATGGATTTGTATTTCCTGTAAACCACACTTCTCAATTACTAACGATCAGATGTGTAAATGTAGCAAAAAGAGTATAAAATACTGCCAGAACTCAACTCTAAAATACTTCTCCATCAATAGAACTGAACAAAAACCCAAATGTGTAAAACAAACACACCAACGCTGAATCAACTGCAGCCTTGTTTTTAAAGTTCTTTTGGCATCATCATGGCTTGCTCTCCCTCACAGGTAATTCCTCGGCCGTTTTGTTTCATCCAATTTGTTATTCCCAGATTTGAAAACGGGCAGTAATGCAGCCATTTTTAAGTGATTCACCATCCAAACTATTCCGAGTTTGGGCCCTTGGAAAAGTTTGGCCGCCATTTAAGTTGATAGCAAGAAAGCAAAATCTGAGTGAAAGTGGCCACAATTCAAACTAGGAGATGCAAGAATGAGATAAAAGTGCTGATGGACACCTAACTGCAAACATTTTCTTTTGAAATATTTATAATTCAAATGATTTATATATAAAAAAGATTTGAAATCAATTCAGGAAGTAACACTAAGATGTACGTGATGAGATGCTGAGCTCTACAGCAGGTTCTTCCAACGCTGTGTGGTAAAACCAACAAAACCGTTAGCATTTTAAACTTTTTTTTTACAGACTACATCTTATGAGAACATGAGTTTTATACACTTTTCCATAGATGTCCTGAACGGTGATCTGTGAGGGGAAACTTCTACTACAGGAAGTTTTTTTCAGCCAAAGAAAGCCATTAAAGGAGAACTGGACCAGCAGTGTACTCCCAACTAAATACAGATTTAGGACATGATCACTTTATTTATTTACGTTTCTTCTCGCATAAAAGTCTAAAATTTGATTTCCTTTTAAGCTCAGTGTTAGGGTAGTTATACCATTGCTTGTGTTTTTGCTTTAATATAACGTGATTTCATTGAGTTAACGCTGATTTCTGATTGGTCATGCGTCTCTAAGGAAACTAACTCCTCCCAGTAGGACAGGATTACTTTTAGCATAGCAGGAGCTCAATGTTTGAGAATTCTCCCGTAAAGGAAATTTTAAAAGCTGTTTGGAGTACAGCGCCAGCCTTTAGGTCCTCCTAGTACAGCATTCATAAAATCACAGTCCTCCTTTGGCATTCCAGGCCTACAGGTGAAGTGGTGAGTTAACAACAGATTTTTTTTCTTTCATACAGTTCATTGATTTCTTTTAGCTCAGTCGAGAGGCTGCGGGTCAGCTATGGGCATGGTGTGCAGGACTTCATCTAGTAGCTGCAGAGCTCGATGTAGATGGATCTCGATCCAGCAGGGTGTCTCTTTAATGCTCTGCCGGGGGTAGTCTGGCCCCCAGCCTTTTACGAAGCTCATGCGCAGGATGCACAGCCTGCGCAGGTCATCGACCCCGATGCCTGCAGCAGCAGACAAACCTGCAGGGGAAGTTTAGATCAATGAGACGCCACTGGCTAAACACAAGCACAGATATCCTAACTACTCTCTTTGTGAGTAGTTGGAAGCATTAGGTTAAGGGGGAGCATTACATGAAATCAGCCAACACACATTAATGCTCCTTCACTTTAAATGTTTGAAATAAACTTTAAAGTTGTGTGACTTTGCTATTACTAAAAAAAGATGCAGCAAATGTTGATCAGCTGTGAGTGAATTAGGTTAATTATGATGAATTTCCTGATTAACTGAAAATAGGGAAGCTCCGATCAGGTTATTCTGCTCACTGATACTGATAGCTTAGCTACATGATCTGGGGAAAAAAGGAACAATGACATCTCCCAAATTTAGACAAAAACAGGTTTGTACCTGTAAAGGTTTTTTTCAGTTCCATGTCAGCCAATCATAAATTAAGCCTAAGAGACGTTCACTGCAGCTGTTCAGATACAGCTAAGTGGTTTGTTGGTATATTTGCTACTTTATTGATAAATGACTCGCACTTGTACAGCGTCTTTCAGAGTCAGAGGACTCTAAAGCACTTTACACCAGTGTATCATTCATCCATTCACACACACATTCACGCACCACCATTTTGGCTCACAGCATGTTCTCATTAGGATCTGCAGTAAAAGGGTAAAAGATGTAAACTACAGAGAGGGGAAGAACAATAAATGTGTTATTACACTCTCATAGGAATAAATTTGAAATTTACTTTCAGGTTCTAAGTTTTGTTTTAATCAAATTATACATGTTCTATCACAAAATAAGCTGTCCTTAGTGAAGGCCTGGTATATTGGACCCTTGGATTTATTCAATTCAAAATTGATTGCTGTAGTAGCTCAGAATAATAATAATAATCAAGTCATCAAAGAGTTATTGTATATTACAATGGCTGTTGGCAGGAAGGATCTCCAGTAACGAAACTGAAGAAGCCTCTGACTGAAGACACTCTTCCGCTGTCTAACAGTCTTGTGAAGAGAATGCTCAGGGTTGTCCATCATTTTCTTGATTCTCTGAAGCTTACAGCTTATTAAGCCTTTTCCTCTAAACTGAAGGTGCCAGGGTTTTTAGTGTGTGGCTTTTTTATCCTCCTCCCCACATCAAGCTGCTCTATAATTCTCTTGGTCACAGTGCTTTGCTGCAAGAAAGTCCCTGACATAATTCCAGACCCACTGCCCCCCCAGAGAGTTTGATAATGAGAAGCAATCACAGTAATGCACTTGCTGCAGGCCAAGTGCAGCAGTAAGAGCACTCACTGATGGCAGGGGCGATGCCTCCCACTGAGCCAGGACCGGGAATGTTCCCCGCCACCGCGGCTGCCTGCGCTGCAGCTGCTGCCTGAGCCGTCGCCGCCTGCTGCTGCATCTGCCGGTGGCACTGACGCAGGTCAAACACCTGCCAGAGAACAAAAAATATATATAATAAATACCTCCTAAATCTCTGGTCAAGAAACCCATATGACTTAATGTTAACTTGATCAGGTCCACAACTGGATCTGAGCTGAAACGTGTCAACGATTAAAACTTTTTTCCCAAAATCCAATGTGAAAGTAGACACCCCTCATTTGGGCAAATGAGTCACCTTTTGCATATTTTTATGCTGCCATGTGGGTCTTACCGTCTTTATAAATACTCCAAACGTGAAAAAAAATCCATTTATACATTTTCTGTCAGTGTTTGGTTTTAGAAATTATGTGCCTAAAACAAAGTTTCAAAAAGTCCCCATTTGTGATGTCACAAACTGGAAAAATAGTATAGAACTACCTCTCACTAGCAAAAGACCTCCTGCTGGAGGAACAGCAGCTCTACTCTGAGCACCTCCCGGATATCAGAGCTTCTGACTTATAGCAGCCTGAGCGGGGATGAGTGGGAGTGGCCGGCTCCAGCTTGTTTTCTTAAAGTGTCAAGAGCCCTGAAATGGCTCATTCTGGAAGATACTGAAACTGCTGAACTGGCTTTTTGTGAGAAGGGTTTAGTGTAAAGAACTTTTTGAAGATATTTGGTATTGAACATAGAAATATTTTATCTAAGGAAAAAAATGAATATGTATTTTATACTTTATAATGTACCTTGAGATGACTAGTGCTTGTAACTCAAGTTACTGAAAATGTAACGACTAATAAAAGTTATGTGCTATAAGTATCCACTACTGAAAAAAATGAATATACTGCTCTAACTAGTTACTTTTGTAATGCATTACTCCCAACACTGTATTTTAAGCAAAGTAGCTTTATATCCAAGTACAAATTTTGTACTTGTAAACACACATGATAACAGACAACAGAAGCATTCGGATTTCTGGTAAAACCCCCCTTCAAATGTTCAGCTTTTCAAAGTAAGAGCACCTTGCCATCACCCCACCTTGATGTAAGCACTGGGGTAGATCTTATGGACAGCGTCGCCTGGAGCCCGGCCAGCCTCCCGGTCCAGATAATAGCTCTGCACAAACACGGCGTGATCACTCAGACAGCGCACCCACACGTCCCCCTCTCCCTTGCATTCCAGCTGAACACCTTTGCCAATGTGAAGCCTGAAAAGACACACCGAAGAGGAAAGGGCTTGAAAACAAGGTAGAGTTAATATTTAAACATTACACTTTATTAGTTAAAAGCACCTTCAAATAAGTGGTAATAAAAAGAAGCCAAAGCACACCTAGCTCTCTCTATGTTCTCTGTCCGGTGGACATTACTCAGTTGACCCAAGCAGAATCGGTCACCCCCTGAGGGATCCACATAACCGTCCACGGTAACTACGGGACATGTGGACGGCACCTTAAACGTCTCCCCAACTTGAACATCCATCTCAAAGTACGCAATGGAGCACCAGTATTCTGGGGCTGGAGAACAAAATCAACCAAATGTCAACGTGACATACTGATGATTAATAGTAAAAATGCTTTTAGCTTAGTCCTCACCTGGATGGTTGGATATGGGCGGCTGGAATGCTATTTCATTGGTAACAGGCCCTGAAAATGTCATTTTAGTGTTAATAATGAATTTAAAACACCCAGAATTGCTTTTATAAAGATTTATTTATCAGGGTTTATTATGATTTATTAGGCTGCTGAAGCAACATCTAAAAAACGTCATTAAACACGAGGAAGAATGTCGATTACTCATTTTTGACCACTATAACTAGTTTTAGTACATTATTTAAATAATATGTAATCTTTTGATGAATAAATGAATGCTGAAGAAAATGACATTAATCATCAATGTTTTGGTGCTGCAGCTAGAATTTTAAAACGCTAAAACTTTTTTTTAATCTAATAAAATAGTTTTTACAGAGTAACAAATATGAATAAGCAAGCTTGTTTTTGAACTCCACTGCTGCAGAATTCTCCTTGAACCTAAAATATCTTGCAGGCAGAAAAGTTACTTGCTGAACAAAATAAAACTTAAGTTTTTATTTTTCCTTATTTGGGATTATGTAATTATTCCATAAAACTATGTGCACTAATATTTTAATGTTTATTGTGTTGTCTCTCATCTTGTATTTTACTTTTAATAGCCTTGTTATTGTTTGAATCTTTGTGGTTTTATTTCCATGCTTCATGCTTTTTGATGGTCGTTCTCAGGGAGGGTATACCAGTGCACAATTTCCAGGAACTAGCAAGGGGCTCTTTACAATGCTCTTCAATTACTTTGAATAAAAATGACAAAAACTAACTTGACTTTTTAAACATAGGTATAATTTTTAAAATGCAGGTTTTAGTAAATTATCAGTTTTCTCTCATTTACAGAAGAGGATAAAACAATTCTTTTATATCTAAATTGTGAACAAATTAAATATTTTCCTCTTTTGCAAATATTTATCAAAATTGTAAATTGCCCTTGTTCTGCACTAATAAAGTTTTATTTAGATGGACTGAGAGGGAAAACTTCTCTGGATTTTTAAGACTTCAGACCCCTGGTCGACACTAAATAAGCTCCACTCACAGTAATGTCCCGTGTGAGGCATAGGTGGATGGTGTTGGAGGTGTCCATTCTGGTGCTGAGGCACCGCTGGGGGGAAGTTGCCGTTTCTGCTCCAGTTGGGTGTCGGATCTGTTCGAGACACAGATGTTCACTTAACCCCACCAACCATCTCCACAATATTTGTAACCTGCTATGTTCTCTTTCATCTGTAAGCGGGACATGGACATTGTGTCGCGTCTCACTTGAAGGGCCGGCACTAATGGCGGAGAAAGCCGAAGAAGAAGCGGAGCTGCTGCCCTCCGAAGGGGGGAGCAGAGGGGGGTTAGAGAACTGCTCCTGAGGAACGGGCCTTGACGGAGGATGCTGGATTGTTTGCAGGTGGTTTTCGGAGCTGGAGTGAGACTGCGGGTTGTCATAGTCGAACTCGTCTTTCACAATAAGCGGGCCTGGCAGGAAATGACAGACACCATTAAAACTGATGAACATCCACAAAATCTACAGCGAGGAAAAAGGAAGCTCTGTACCTGAATTTGAAAGAGTCAGTGTTGACAAGTCTGCAAACACATTCACAGAAATAAATAAATAAAGCACGTGAATCGGCTCCACCTAACTTCATGTTGGGCTTGTTTTACAACAAATGTGAACACTAATACTCGCTCATATCACAAGTTCATAATATGGACTTATTTTTAAATAATAAAGTGTAAAAAATGTCTCAATTCAGATGAATCATGCAGATTTTACCTGGGAAAATCTGGAATTTTCTTACCAATTCCCGGAGAAACTACCCTCTCGTAGTGGTATGGGTTGACACAAACACTGTCACATTTCAGGTCGAAGGCATACTGGCAGTATTTCACATGTTTTAACTCATTCTTGTGTAAATCTGGCCATCGCCAAAGTCTGGCATAGACGACATGCGGGAAGCCTTTACGCCCTGCGACCTAAAGCACAGAAAGACGACATACGATATGCATTACTTTCTCTTCACATCTTACTGAGGAGTGACACAAATCTGGTGCTGCACCATACCTGCAGGCGTCCATCCAATGTGCGTTGTATGGTCACGCACTTGCTTGGATGAGCTCCATTTGTGGTGATGGCTGTGATGAGGGAATCCAACTCATCTTTCTTCTCCTTCAACTTCTTGACAAGACTCTCTATGGCTCGCTTAGCGAAGCTCTCACTCTCCCCTCCCTGTCGGTGGCACATCAGACTATGCACGATGCTCAGGCAGGCGTCGTTGCTTGTGGGAGTGTTTGTGATTGACATCTTGCTTTGCTGTTTTCACTATTTTGTGAAATTTTCAGCTGTGTCCTCTATATTTTTAGCTGGAGAGTGTCCCGTGTTCAGCTACAAAAAAAGAGACTGATTAACTGTTTTAATCAAAAGAATTCCATCTATAGGGGATCTAAATATCTGGATCATTCCAAGTCTGCTTCTAAAACAAAGGTTAAAACGGTAAACTTGAGCTTCAACTGTTTTGTAAAGAAGTAGGACTTGTGAAATCTGCAGCAGTCTTTCATAAAGGCAGCACTGAATTATGTTGAGTGTTTAATACTTTTCACAGAACTCATTTGTGTGTTAGCTTGAATTTAATTTTGTCTGATTTTAAAACTGGACAGATGGTAAATGGCCTGGATTTGATATAGCGCCTTCTAGAGTCCTGGAACCCCCCAAGGCGCTTTACAACACAAATCAGTCATTCACTCATTCGCACACACATTCACACCCTGGTGGGGATGAGCTACGATGTAGCCGCAGCTGCCCTGGGGCGCACTGACAGAGGCGAGGCTGCCGAGCACTGGCGCCACCGGTCCCTCCGACCACCACCAGCAGGCAACGTGGGTTAAGTGTCTTGCCCAAGGACACAACGACAGCGACAGACTGAGCGGGGCTCGAACCAGCAACCTTCCGATTAGCACTTAAATCCTGTGCCACCGTCGCCCAGATTGCAAACACTTCCTGTACTAAACTGGAATTTAAAATCTGAAGACATTTCACACTAACCTCTAAAACCACATCCGGGTTCATGCAAACAGGAGCTCTCCATAAATGCTAACTAACCGTCAAGGTTTAAACAAGTAAAAAGCTACCCAACAAAAAGGTTTGCTAGCGCTACTCAGCTAAGCAGCTCCGTTAGCATATGCTACAACTTAGCTAACGATAGGCTAGAAAGCTATCAATCCATCACCTAAATTAAATAAAAAATGTATATATTTACTTACAGCAACTCTATGTGCAGGAGCGGCGTCCAGATGGGAGAAAATGTTATACAACAACCGTTTATACCAAAATGTGGATCTGACGTTAAGGTAATTGTTGCTAGCTTGCTAGCACATAAGCTAACAGACTTTCATCTACCTGAAGCTTCTTTCCTCCTGGCCCCAAATCCAACCCCCTCACTAAAAATTAAATGGCATATTAGTTGAGGTAGTTCTTGTTCTTCCAATACAGGAGTAGCGCTTTGTTCTAGTTTTGAATATGCTGCACAACCACCCACAGTAAACGCTAGGGCTGACTGGCTAGCTAGCTGCCCACGAAAATAAACAAAAAAATCTCCACCCACCACGCTCAAGACAGGCGTGGCGCTGCGGCGCTACACTGATCATTGCTTCGGTTTTGAAACTTCAACGTTTGTTTTTTTACAATGACTCGAACTATTGAAATGGTTGCTGAGAAAAGAATCAGGTTCAGTGAAATCCAATTAAATTTATTTTCTTGGGAAAGACGGCCGGTGATTGACTAGAAGTCAGGACAGACTATAAGCCAGTTTGTTGGTTTAAGCTTTTAAATCAACTCATGTGAAGCTGAAATGAATGGGACAATATTGTCAAATCAATCAGAGAAGCCTGTATTATATTATATTGAACTGAAGTATTATGTGGGATTTAGTGGCATCTAGTGGGAAAGTTGCAAATTGCAACTAAATATTTTTTACAATTCTGTCCTCTCCTGTCAAGTGTATTAGACTGGTGGGGTTACTGTTATGCAACATTTAACTCCTGAAAATAAATAGTTCCAGATATAATTTTTACTGACAAATGGCATACGAATGTCACTTTAAAATGTGTTCATTGACTTAGCAAGTAGGAATATGAAAATTTCCAATTTGATGCAAACAGTATGTTGGAAAATTATCTTGAAAGCTTATGAATTTTCCTTCCACCAAGATTTTATTTATTTTATTTTTTGCTGCTAAACATTTACTTCTTGATTCATATGAAATAAACATTTAATACAGCTCTAGAGTAATTTTTGGCTTAAATCAATTTAGGAGTACTTTAGAAAGCATGTTTTGTTCACCCAGTCCATACAACTGTAAAGCATAGCAGTACATCCTGTTAACCGTCTGCAAGCATAGGTTAGCATAGGTTTCTCAGTTTTATGCAATAAAAACAATCTATTGCATTTTGACCAGTAAATCTTTTTCAATGAAATCTGATCAAACACAAACAAATTGTTGATTTTAATGACTGCAGATGCTTTTATCCATCTGTTCACTGCCATGCAACGCCTGCCCACTTGGTCTATGTAAATCAGCACTCAGAGTAAAGATCCTATTCAGTTAAAACATCCCACCGGGTTATTCCACTGCTATCTACTTCCAACTGTTAACAGCAGAAGCTGGGTGATGATGTGATGTAGATTTGAGTTTTTTCTTTTTCCATTTGTACCGTTACTATGGCCCTGATAAGAACATAAGCATACCAGAGTCAGAAAGGGGAAGTGGGAGGGTTCAGAGTGCACCAAATAACCCGGCGGTAGAATTGTCAATAGAACATGTTGGCATTGGAGACCAGGAATCTGACACCACCTTCTCACAAATACTGCCACTTAGAGTGGCTTCTCACCCTGAGTGATGGCCTACAAGACTCCAGGCTCTAACACCTTTTTATCAATATGGCATGGCAGCAAGCAGTGTGAGGCCCGACAGGCATGTGACACTGGAGGGAATGGGGATTAAGCTTGTTAGATGAAGAGGGATGTGATAACCTGACAATCAAACAGTGTGTACAATTCATCAAAACAAATATTTCCCAAAGAATAATGTTTGTTTTAAGATATTTTATTTTTATAACTATACCATTTGACATTACTTTGTGAAGCTGAAGCAGAGTGCTGCTGATTGGAAACGTGAAGCTGCGTTTTCTGAACGACACCCGTGGGTTTCCAAGACATTGGGAAAATTGTCTCCTGGTCTGAAGCCATTGAAAATACACAGCGAGTTTGGCAAGCAATTCAGAGACAGAATATTACAGTCTTTAAATCATCTCCATGGGCCCTAAGATGCTACAACAAACACATACACACACACACACACACACACACACACACACACACACACACACACACACACTCACAAAGGCGCGCGCAAATTACAAATCAGCTGCGAGTACATCTCTTTGTAAAGCATAGGGCTAAAAGGTGTTTTCTGCTCCACTCCTGTTATGAACAAACATTTCTATAATGTGAAACATCGAAGTTAAACGTGCATCTTTGTTCTCATGAAATCTTCTAGATTCCAGTGATATTCTGAAAGTTGTGATTGTAATAAATACCTTTTAGATTTGCTACTGATAACAAGAAATTCTTTACAGCTAAAATTCTACTCAACCGTTGCTTTGCTTTTATAAAACCTGTCGGTGTATGAATAGTTGCAAGAAGATACAGAATGAGCAAAATAGCTAAACCCAAAATTCCTGGCAAAGCTTTCCTGTTGGCCTTCACTCTTGTTTTGACTTTCTTTGTAGACTGGATTATTGCACTCTCCCACAGTGATAAGGATGAGTTGTTCAAGGTTATTCAACGTTGCAGCGTTGATCATTTTAACACGTAATCCAAAGGGGTTCGAATGAAGGCAACTGGACTTCTTTGGTTTCTTGAAGATGCTTCACATCCATGGAGCTTTGTCAATTCTGGGTCAAGCTCGACCCTCCTGTATTCTAGAGAGACTTGACAAAGCTTCTTGGATGGAAGCGAAACATCTTCAAGAAACCAAAGAAGTCTAGTTGCCTTCATTTGAACCCCTTTGGATTACCATGACCTGCATGGCTGAGAACCTTCACCAGCATTTTAACATGTACAGCATGCCCAAGTAGTCCAAAGCTTGTCAGTCAGGTGCCATTCATGTGCCAGGTACTGGCACACATCTGGCAGCATGTTAAGCTCAAAACAAGAGTGATTTGTCAGGGAATCTGCACATTTTTGGAAGGTATACAAACCGACATATTTATCTGCCTTGCTCATTCAACAGACACTCGATACTTACAAGTTATGCTTCCTTGTAAAGGCAACTAATCAGGCATCCCAACAATCTAAAATACAACAGCAATTGTATTTCTGAATAGGTCAATTACTGACGGACTGAAATTTCACTTTACATACTTTTTTGTGAAGTTAGTTATCACAATACTGATACTTCAGAATTTTACTTCCACGAATAACTGATAGATGCTAACTAAAATACAAAGTGGTAACTATTTATGATGAATCATGATAGACAGTTAAAAGGGTTTTGTACCAATGCTTTGAAATTGGTCTATTCAAAAATAACATTAGTTTCTGCTCCACCTTTATACAATTGCAAATTTACAACGCTAATTTACACTAGATAGATTTACAGATAGATACATTTAGATTATCAGTCTCTATCTTTGAGTGACATTATCTACAGCCACATTCTGCCACCACCATTCCTTCATACTTGTGATTAAAAGTGACCACTCCGTTATCGTGATAAAGAAGAGTGATTGGCTCCAGTTTGGTTGGCACACAGCAGGCGGGGGAAGCTCTTTCTGGGCTCTTGAGGCTCAAGCGTGTCTGCACTATGGCATGTTTGGTAGGTGAGACCTCAGATGTCATAGGAGGGCTGCACACGCCATTGCACTTGTACGCCTCGTAGCCCAAAGGCTGGACTATCCACTTGTCCCAGCCGATGTCTTTAAAATCCACAAAGAGCGGCGTCCTCCTGCATGACTCACTCTTAACATTGCGACGAATTCGAGGAGGTGTGTCATAGATAAGGTTGGACTGTAGGTCCAAGGCAGACTGTTCGCCCAGCTCGTCCTGGTTAGCACGGTCAGTGTTGTGATTCATGTCCCCCCGGAAAAGTTGCTGGCTCCAGTCCATGTTTTGAGGAAGGTCATTCTCATGTTGAATCATCTGACCGAGCTCTTGTCTGTCCTGTTTGTGATCTCTACTCTGGTCATCTGAGAATACGATCATCATTGAATTGTGGGTCCCCTCCAAGTTTCTGTCAATGTCAATCTCAATCAAACCGTCGCCTCTCCCTGCTGTTTTCTGCATGACCTCTTCTTCTTCTGAGCCCAGACTTTCAATGTGAACCTCCAGCCTTCGAGTTGCACACCCTGATTTCCACCAAAGGGTAACCACATGAGTGAGGTCAAATGACACCCAGCTATTATCTTTGGCACGGATATGCTTTGTCATCAGTTCCTGCAAATCATTCATCTCCACCACCTCCTCTTTATCCCTCCCTCTCCCTTCTTTCCCCACCTCTTTTGTCCAGATAACTCCGTCATGTAGCATGTAGATTGTCACCTTGCAGTTAATCCCAGCATACGGTATTTGGGCCTTTTGCACAAGAATGAAAAGTCGAAGCTCAGCTATTGTTATGTGCTCATGGTGGGGCACGGAGATATTGAACAGAAGAGGATGAATTCTGACACCCCTGGCTTTTACACGAGAGGGGGAGAAATCTGAAATCAGAATACCAGAAAGGGTTTCTTAGTGATTTTTTTTATGTAGTCACTTCTTAAGTAAAATCTAATTAGAAAAATTAACTCTTTCAATCAGTGTTTACACTCCTATTTTATGATCTAACCCTCTCAATGACAAGAAAACCAAAAACAATATGCATCACATAGATTTGTCAAGAAACCTGAATTATGCTGTACCTTCATTCTTGAAACTGCGAACAATGTTGGCAGATGGTACTGCGGTGCGGTCGTTGGCGAAGCGATAGTAGAGCTCCAGCATGAATTCTGGTAGAGGTTCTGTGTGGGTGGCCTGGGCACTGGTTTGGGATGTTCGCTTTGTAAGGTTCAATGTGGAAATAAAATGGGTCAAAAAGTCCTGCGCATTGAGTGTATCGTCATCCACGTCTGATCGGTCAATCCTTGTCTTGTGGTAAATCTCAGAAGGCTTTATGGGACTACTCCAGCTCAAAGCAGTCAGTACCAATAGCATGACGTTCAGAGTGTGAACAAACCCAAGGTTGGAGATAAATGAAGTGGTCATTGCTGAGCGAAGGAAAAATTTCAATCCAAATGCTGCTGTGAGATGAGAAAAGCTCTTAGAAACAAAACCTGCAGACTCTGTCATTAAAGGACAACAGGTTGCTGTTGGGGCCAAAGTGTGAAGCAGCTTTGCCCTTGTTGGTCTTGAAGTTTGGCTCTGAGGGCAGGGCTGTGGTGTCCCATGTGCTGCGCTGACATGTTTGGAGATGTCACTAAGGCCTTGCTTTGCCCTCCTCTCTCTCACCACTCCCAATACTGTTGTGGTGCATACCTTTCTTCTAAACGAACAGTGGTTTTCTAGTTTTCTAGCCATTTTCATGAACTTGGTTAGCTGTACTTTCCTGACACTCATTGAATTAAGACAATAACACTCTCAATTTTTACTTTGCAAGTTATCAACAACTATTAACAAATCACTGTCAAATCTACAAATGTGACTTAAAGGCTAAATGTTTAATAAAGGCTGACAATTTAATAAAAATCTTCTTTAAAAAAAAACTCCATGGGGTGTTTAAAGGTGTGCAGAATGAAGGTTCAGTATTTCCTTTTAAAGCTACATTTCAATTAAAAAATTATCAAATAGTTATATTGATAGGCACAGCACTCGGTTTATGTTTACAACTACCAGCCAGTAGAGGGCACCATTGCGGGTTGCCAAACACTCTGCTCGGCACAGCAAGGCAGGCACTGTGGAAAATGGCGAACTTGGCAAGTCAAGCAGCTGCTTCCCCAGATGTCGTTATCCTTCTCAGAAGAGGAGCAACCATAAAAGATCTGAAAGCAAAGTGAGTTTAGGTGAAGTCTACAACACATGGACCCAAATAAAACATTTCAGGTATCGGAAGCAAACCTGGCATCCCAACAGCTGGAACCTTGTTCTATTGTTGCAACTACAATCTCCACACACTAGATGTCGCTTTGGTGTTTGTGTTCCATATTCAAACTTTAAACCGTTGTATTCAATTGCAAGTTAATTTTATCAACTCATTTTTTATAGAGTTTTGGCTTTTAGCTTTTTAATGGTGTGCTATCTTGACCAGGTTGCCCTTTCAATAAAAAAGTAATCTCAAAGGATTTCCCTCCTAAAGAGAAAATGTGTAGTTTTAACCATTAATCTCTGGAAACATCCATCGAAATGTTGAAAATTAATTAAATGATGCGCAGATGTTGAAAAATATTGGCAGCTTCATAACATATAACTACAAAAATCGGGTCTCAAATACATGGCAGCGGGTCTAAGTCTCTGGGCAACGCCATATTAGACACCATATTTCCTTCTACGGGAGCCTGTGAGGACAAAATGCCTTTACTGATTTGTAACAAACAGTTACAAAATTTTCACCATTTACAAATGCTTTTGCTTTACACATTTATCTCTTCATCCATTGTCAGTGATGAAAGGGAGTCTGTTATACTTGTCATTTTGCTGGAGGTAGTGCTCCCAGTGATTTTTGACCCAAATGGCCATCCATTGGTAAGGTCTTACTCGAACACAAAAATACTGGTTGCTTGCAATGATTTAGGTATGATTGCCCCCTATTCCCAGGGAAAATGCACTCCATTACCTTAAAGGTTAAATCAAGTCAAGTACAGGAAATGCAGTTAAACCAAGCCCCCACAATGCCGCTCAGAAAATGGTCCCATCCCGGAAGTAAGAAAAATTGCAGTTCCACCCTCATCCGCTGGGGGCTGGTGCCAGAAGCGAGCAAATCCTCATTGACTCCCATGTTAAAAATGCCGATTTCACAGCAGAAATAAACATGTTTACAGCCTGGTGCCAAAACATGTTTTTTGTCTAAATTATCTAGTTTATACTCATGACAACTCTGAGGGGGGTGAATTTTTTTCTCACTCTTCTGTTTAAGTGTATTGAAAGCCTAAAATTCTGTATAATTAATGAGCATCCGACACACGTGACCGCCGCCTCAGACCCACGTGACCACAGAGCTAGCTCCGTGGAAAGGCCTCAGTACAGCCTCGGTCTGGCTTGGAAACTGCTCCGGCATTTTGAGTCTCTGTGTTTGTGTATTCTTCTTTGGATATTATTGGTGCAATTGTTGGACAAAATGACTTGCAGTGGTATTAATTGCACTAATAGAGCGTCCAAGGAGTCTCCACTTCATTTTTTTCGGTAAGTTAAAATCTATATTCGTATTTTATGTCACTGCCACCTTTAAACTAGCTGAGTTTACCGAAGTAGCTAGCTAACTATCAGTTTAACATGTAGCATGTACTGTTTAACCATGAAATTTAAATGTAAAATACGGTAAAATAATTAATAGGGCATATTTAGATGGGTAATAGGGTAAAACCCAGTGCATTTAAGATAAAAATGGGTTGAAATATGACGGAGCGCTAAGAGGGAGACTTCTGTGTCCATTCTTCCATCCGGTAATCCCCAGCGGTCAGGCCGGGCAGCCTGACCGATCCGGCGCCTACTTGCTGCGCCTAGCTGCTGCGCGGTCTGACCGCTCGTGGAGTTTTTCATGTCTGACTTTAACCGCATCTAATACTGTATTACGGCTTGAGCGCAACAGCGACAACTTAATATCGATGTGTAAGCAGCCTGAGTAGTAGGGTGTTTTCATCTGAACCCTTAAAACCTCCAGCAGGCTATGCTGCACTATTGACGTGTTAGCGCGCGGCGCTAACAACTTAGCAACGTGACATGTCTCTGAGAAAGCGTAAAACACGGACGCTTCTTCTGAAGCGGAAAATAACACCTCTTCTTAAGCAGAGCAGGATGTCGCCTCGGCTCGTTCACGGCCGAGCCGGACTGAGCTCGATAACATTGACCAAGCACAGCCACTGGGCCGTTGTAGCTGCCACCAGGCCTGCTGAAGGAACTCCAGCGGGTTTCATCAGACTCGTAAAGTTTCTTGTTTTTGCTGGGGATTTCTGTATTTTACCGCTCCCTCCTGCAGTCTTCCCCTATTAAAATTTAAAATGTGTAACTTTATGTATTGTGATGAATGACTAATATTCATGTAAAACTAAAACGTTAGGCATTTAGGGGGAAAAACCAAAATAATAAACATTATACAGATGTCAAATAAATCAAACTGTAATTAAACTATATATCTTCAAAGTCATATAGACAGCATGATGGTTTGTGTGATCCGCGCGGTTTCACTTACACCCCTTTAATGATCAGGCTGTTTTTTATTATTTTTATCAGCTGATAGCAGTTAAAATTATGGTAAAAAATACTTTTATCTGTTTTTGATAACTTAATGCCCAGGAAGAGCATCTTCCTGGGCATTAAATATAACCCAAATGTTTTATTATGAGCAGATCTGATGAAGGTTTAGACAAGCAGTCTGCAAAGTAAAACTTGTTTAGAGTCCAAACTCTTACTAAAGCTTTTAAAAAGAAAAAATGGTTGAATTTTGAGAAATATCCACAACAAGGGAGCGAGACCTCTGAAAAATGTATATTTTCTCTGAATTCATAGAATAATGTGAAGATTCTGGGAAAAGTTGGGATTCTGAGATTAAAACGTAAATCTTTCTAATCATAATTCTGGCAGTTTTTGTGTCCTTCTGCTGTGGAAAGTCGTGCAACATGAAGATACTGAGAAGATGCTTACAACCTGTATTTTTATTCCATCCATAAATAAAATCATGAGCTATTTTTTTAATCCAAATTTGATACAAAGGGCCATCGTTGGTTCCAGACCCGTTCTAGAACATTCCTCTAATCTTAAAGTCATCATCAGTTTCTTCCTTTTAACAAATATTTATTTGTTCAAATATTTAATATTTATAACTGGAATATTTGTTCCTCCCTTTCCCACTGCAGTTAGTCCTGTCCTGCAACCCTGTTTTTGCAGCTTAGTGAAGCCAACCATCACTAACCTGGGGGTGGTTTTGGACCCAGAGATGCGGATGGACTCCCACATTAGCCAGGTGGTTAGATCCTGCTTTTCCCGGCTTCGCCAGCTACCAAAGATGAAGTCCATCCTGAAAGACGTGTCATATTTTCTCCCCAAGCTGGACCTGACCGTCATGTATCGGTCCAAAATAGTGTGATGATATTGTGTTTTTTGTACATAACAGACTTTTTAACAGACAAATTTGTCGCATTCTCCTACACCTCTTCACGGGCTCGCCACAGTAAATATTCTATTTGGCAAGAGATAAACTTTATTGTATTTATCCTAGTGAATCTATAATTAAACGGGTAAACTAGTATTAGCACATCCAACATCAAAGAAAGTAAAATGTTACTATCAGGAGAGGGAGAATGTTTAAGTGGTTAGCAGCAGTGTGCTAGCCGATGGCCCCCTCCATGAGGCCACCACAGCTCAGCAGAACATCGTTGTAGCTTCTTCTGGGGAGAAAAACACTTGGAGAAAAAATAAAGTTAACAGCTGAAATAGCAGGAAATAATACAGTTAAAGAGCAGATTGTAGAAGAAAGAAACCCCTGGGTTAAAATGATCTGTCTACTGCATAATGCTGAACTCTAACATGTGTCCTAAGGGAAGGACCTGATTGGTGTCCAGAACCTGTTGAAGAAGCACCAGGCTCTGCAGGCTGAGATCACAGGTCATGAACCTCGCATCAAGGCTGTCACCCAGAAAGGAGAGACCATGGTGGAGGAAGGTAGAGCAGGTCTGGTCCTGACATGTTTCTGAGGTGTCTGCAGGTTCTGGCTCACTTTTTTTGGGTCCAGGTCACTTCGCTGGTGAGGAGGTGAAGACTAAGCTGTCAGAGCTTCATGGACGTTGGGACACGCTAAAGGCCAAGGCGTCCCAGAGGAGGCAGGACCTGGAGGACTCTCTGCAGGCCCAGCAGTACTTTGCGGATGCTAATGAGGCCGAGTCCTGGATGAGGGAGAAGGAGCCCATCGTTGGAAGTCCAGACTAAGGGAAAGACGAGGACTTGGCCGAGGTATGGAAGTCCCTTCCTGAGAAACTCCAATCGCTTTTCTTTGCTCTCTTTCCAGTCCTTCATAATTAGTGTTTCTGTATTTGTCATTTCCTTCGGTTGTCTACCAGACATCGTTGCTCGTTTGAGCGTCTCATGGGTTAGGGGTAGAAGTGCTGGCCTCGCACAGGAAGTGATGACAAACGTGTTCCCGGCGCTCTTATTTCAAACGGTTTACAAGCTGTGATGTGTGTTCCCGCTGCAGAGCAGCCATGACACGTGGCTGCCGGCAGAAGGCTCACGCTTTTCCACTAAACACCCGCAGAGCTGCGTCTGCGGTGAACTGAGCAGGGTTTGTTTTACAGTGGCGGATCCGATTGGACCATCGCTGCGAGAAAGCTCCACTTGTGTCAGACGAGCTGAAGGTTCTGATGTTCTGCTCCACAGGCTCTCCTGAAGAAGCACGAGGCCCTGATGTCGGACCTGTCGGCTTATGGCAGCAGCATCCAGGCCCTGAAGGAGCAGGCCCAGTCCTGCAGGGTGAGTTCAGAGCCCTCGGCCCGTCAGAACATTCTTATCCACCACGTTCTAACACCAGACCTGTTAACCCGACAGCAACAAGATAATCAGCAGGTGCTTTTGTCCTGCAGGACCTGAAGGCCAACGAGTCCCGCCTGAGGGACATCAACAAGGTGGCATCTGAACTGGAGTCAGAAGGTCTGATGGCTGAGGAGGCTCCTATGGTTCAGGCTCAGGTGAGCGTCACCTGTCTGCAGCAGCTGGTCCCTCTCACTTCCTGGTTTGTTAACTCTGCTCGTCTCTGTTTGTAGCAACAAGAACATCTGGGTTCTGCTCCTGGAAAGGTGCATGTTGTCCTCCGCCTCAACCAGAACCAGACGTGGTGTTTATGTTACCACTCATTTGTTTGTTTGTTTGTTTGTTTACAGGACGAAGCCGACTCTTAACACGGCGTCACCCTGGAAGGTGAGTTCATTCAGCTGATCAGAGGTCACCTCTGATGGCAGCAGTCACGGCCGACCGTGCTGACATCACACAGGAATTCAGGTGACCCGGCAGGCACCAGGTGCTGGTGAAAGTGGGGACATGTCAGCTGGTTGCCATGGCTACAGTTATCTTTATGCATCTGTATGACTGCTGACTGGTGTGTGTTTCCTGTGACCTTTGACCTCAGACCGTACGGTTGGGCGTTCAGACGACGGCTAACTTTAATTCCATCAAGGTAAGAGGAAGCTCTTCCCTTCCTGTCTGAGCGATCCGTCTCCAGGTTTCCTCGTCCGGCGTCCAGCCCGCTGGCGTCCACCTTCATCTCACCTTCATCTCATCTCACTTCATTTATAGTGCAATACTTTCACATTATCATTTTCCCACACTTCTGTATACCTGTATTTTGTTGTTTTTCAATAAAGAATGACAAATTATTTAAGTTTGGTTTTTGTTGCACACAAATATATATCTGTAAAAAATATCTTCAAAGCTAATGTTTACATAACAAGTATGATTTGGTTTTGCAATACAGCACTCAAGTTTATTTTAGTAAGATTTTTAAACCAAGTAAAGTTAGTAAAGAACACATTTCTATTGTCTGCTAAGAAACTGTTGGGATTTAAAATGGGCCTGTTGTACAAATAACTTGTAAATGATTATTCCTCACTTTTGTCCTAACCAAAGAAATTCCAGTAATTGAGCAAAAACATTTATTTTTAACACTACATTTTATAAAACAGGGCACAGTGTCGGCACATGTATGTATGTCGATGGTCCGCCCCAACCGAACCAGGAGACACAGACGTCAGGGAGGCCAAGGTTGTCTCTGCAGCTCTCTGGGCACCACGCCTCACTCAGCTGTCCCCAATGATCCAAATGGCTATGGAGGAAAAAAAATTTAATAAAAGAATGAAACTTAAAAACTCCCAAACCTCATGTCATATTTACTAATCAGCTATGGCTGATTTATTGTTTGGATCACAGTGAGTTACACTAATTCTAATATATTTTTATTTCTATTATACATACATACTTTTTAACTGTTATTTTCACATGACTGTTATCAGGCTCTTGTTCTGGTTCTGATGATAACTCTGTGTCTTCCAGTAAGTTATCTTGTGCTTACTTCATCTGTATAATGTCTCTTTACTTTTGGTAAATTGTACTGAGTCCAGAATAAAGGCTAGCTGGCTGTACAAGATACAAACAAGTATTACGTTTTGGAAATATATGAAACACCGCCAGCATCTGTTAGAGCCTGTGGCGGGGTGCTGAGGGCCGGCTCCAGCCCAGGAATGAGCTCTACACGCCGGCCGGGAGGGTTTGAAACACCGCCATCCTCTCCTCTGCTGGCTGTTCATTCTGTTATGGTTACCGGTGCTTGTGTTGCAATGTTAAACGCTTGGTCTCGGATTTTGTAAGAAAGATAATAAAATGTCCCCCCAAAATACGACTTAAATATATTTTCTCTTCTTCATGATACATTTAATGGCTGGTGCGACTCAGGAGTGATAGCGCCGAAAAAAACTGTACTGAAAACTTGCTCAAAGCAAAATGTATTCATTACGGAAATAAATTATAAACTTACCGATTTAAAACTTTTTTAATACAGGTACTTCTCACGAACAGGCACAGAAAACCTCCACCTAAACTCCGTGTGAGGTTCAGGTCGATGGGTGTTCCAGTTAGCTCCGGTTGGGTTGAAGCTAGGTGGCTACATCCGTTAGCTCGGCTCCCACCTCCGCTTTAGCTTTGGGTTAGCCAGGGTTAGCTTCAGGTTAGCTCGTAGCTAGTTCGCCTGGGTGTCGTCACTCGAGCCCAGCCTTACAGCCACACCCTCAGCGCCTCCTCTCTTCCCTTTTATGGAATTGTCTGGGCTGGACGGAACCTGTGACACGGTCAAAATGGCGGTGGTGGACACCTCCCATTATGGACAGATAACGTGTTATTGAAGCCTATGGAATCGAATTGTCCAGTATATGTACAGTCTATGAGTTAAACCAGCTGTGTGGAGATATCTAATAACACAAATCAAAATGAGAAACTATGCACAGCATTTATTTTCATTTTCATTCAGCATCGCAATGCAAAAAGAACCACTGCAAAGCAAATCCGTATCACTTGCCGGCATTAGCTAAGACACATGAATAACTCTTAATAATGTGGGTATTACAATAAACATTGCAATATAAATGCCTTCATTTAGATTATTAACAGTCCTTTGTTACACATGTACAATCCCATTTTACCTGCCATTAAACAAATGCAACCAACTCGTACTGAGACCCAATGACCTCAACTCTCATGTATCAAGATTAAACTAAACTATGATTATAGTTCTAATCCTAACCATTTCAGACACAGAATAAAAATATCTCAAGAAAATTTTAGGACCAAGATGTGTCTTTAAGCCTAGAACCAGAAAAAATGGACAATATAAAGAATCCACATACAATTCCAGGCTTTACGAGCTTGATAAACTAGGAGAATACTGTAAATGGGAATTAAAATTCAAATTTTACATGTCATATATTCTTTGGAGTCACTTTTAACCATAGTTTGCATATTTGGGCTATCTCATATATCACATAATCAAGAGTTTTAAACTTATAGAGTATCATCCTAAACGATTAAGTCTTATTGGCAAATGATTTCCTTAATAACAACAACGATACCGATAATTACATGTAAATGTTTGGCACATTAAGTTCAGTAAACAAAAGCCTGTTTTTTTTTTAAATGGATTGTGTTTGTATAAGAAGGAATCCGATGGCACAGATTTGCGATTTACCAACAGAGTGTTAGGCTATCTGCCTGACTTTAGCAGGACATGTCGTCAAGTTTACACCCAAGAGTCCAGTGGTGGAGGTTTGTTATCCATGAGGCCCACTGCAGGTCTGCCAGCTCTGATGAAAAGTTTCCTTTCACTTATCGCCTGTGCCAAAAAGAAAAAAATGCAGATGAAGTTGGTCTATTAGCATAAGAAACACACACACACACTGTTGCAAAGCTCCAACATTCTTTTGAAGGTATGTGATCATGTTTTTGCCTGTATCTGTGTACATATGTGTGTTTGAAGAATTCAAAGATCACTGTGGCAGAGCTTGAGAGATGCAGTCAGGAGATGGGAGAAAGTTGTAGAAAGTCAACCATCACTGCAGCCCTCCACCAGTCAGGGCTTTATGGCAGAGGGGCCTGTCGGAAGCCTCTCCTCAGTGCAAGACACATGAAACCCTGCATGGAGTTTGCTAAAAGACACCTGAGGAACCCAGAGATAGTGAGAAATAAGATTCTCTGGTCTGATGAGACCAAGATAGAACTTTCTGGTCTTAATTCTAAGCGGTATGTATGGACAAAACCAGGCACTGCTCATCACTTGCCCAATACAGCCCCCACAGTGAAGCATGGAGGTGGCAGCATCATGCTGTGTGGGTGATTTTCAGCTGCAGAGACAAGATGACTGGTTACAATCGAGGGAATGATGAATGCGGCCAAATACAGGGATATCCTGGACAAGAACTTTCTCCAGAGTGCTCAGGACCTCAGACTGGGTTGAAGGTTTACCCTCCTGCATGACGATGACTCTAAGCACACAGCTAAAATAACAAAGGAGTGGCTTCACAGCAACTCTGTGACTGTTCTTGAATGGTCCATCCAGAGCCCTGACCGAAACCCAACTGAGCATCTCTGGAGAGACCTAAACATGGCTGTCCAGCAACGTTCACCATCCAACCTGACAGAACTGTAGAGGATGTGCAAGGAGGAATGGCAGAGGATCCCAAAATCCAGGTGTAAGAAACTTGTTACATCTTTACCAAGAAGACTCATGGCTGTATTAGCTCAGAAGGGTGTTTCTACTATGTACTGAGCAAAGGATCTGAATACTTAACATGTGATGGTTCAGTTTTCTTTTTTAACTAATCTGCATAAATTTATGGGTTGCTTTATAAAATTCTGTTATTCTGTTAATATGGGGTGCTGTGTGCACGTCAACTCATTAACTGCCGGCCATTTCCTTATCAGAAAAGCCTCTCGCTGCCAGCGTGTTTTGAGTGTTTTTACTGTTTTTTGAAGAGTCACAGAACGTTGTGTTCTATGATGATGTCAACCCCAAAACTATCAAAACACAGTTGACTCACTTATTGCATCAGGAAGAATCCATGTGCTTCTAGCGTTATCCATTCTTTCATAATCCGTTGTCGAATTGAATGACCAGCTTTATAGTTGTGATGTTTGTTCTCACGGTGCGGGAGCTCGTTCCAACGACCGCCCAGTAAAAAAATGCAAATGACGACTTTTTTCGTCAATGGCAGTAAATGAGTTAATGAGACAAAACTGAATTCATAGGATTTTAACAAATGGCTGCAATATAACAGAGTAAAAAAATTAACAGGGGTCTGAATACTTTCCATACCCACTGTATATAACCTTAAAAATGGGGTCTAAAATACATGGAAGTGGGTCTAAGCTTCTGGGCAACACCATATTAGACACCGTGTTTCCTTCTACAAGAGCCCACTAGAAAAAAAACACATTTACTGACTAGCAACAAGCGATCACAAAGACTTTAATCATTCATAAACATTGTTTTACACATTTACCTATTCACTTGTTACCAATGATGAAAGGGAGTCTGGTGTGCTTGTTGTTTTGTTGGAGGTTGAACGATCTGATGAAGTACTTATTAGGAAATTGCACTCTCTGTGATTTTTGACTCACAAAAACACTGCTTGCTTGTGATGATTTAAGTATGTATTGCCCCCTATTGTCAGGGAAAATACACACTGTCACTTTAAGAGCAAAACTTGTTCTTATCAATCTGATCAAAAATCTAAGTTTATTCAGAATGTACCCAAGCATGTCATTTCACGTCTTATCTTTATATATTTGGAGTCAACACTTTTTCTCTAATAGCAAATCATCTTATAAGCTGATTTGAATGCAAATTTGATAAAGTCTATCTATAACATGACTCTAAAGTCATCACAGCCTACTGACCTTCGAAAATCAGTCAGAGTTGCAGATATTGAGCTACAACGTAATTCATCACACACACAATTACGAGGCAACTTTCATGATGTTACTTTCAAAAGTGGTTAAAATACTCAATGGTTACCTGAAGAGCATCTCTCTCTGCAACAGGCACCTTTCCATCTCCAACTCTGTCATTAGGCTCCAAGGTAGAATATACATCTGCATAAAAAAAGAATATCATCTAAACACATTTATCAACATTCATCCATTATTTTTGCATTATTGTGGACATTATTTAAATTACTCCAACAAATACATTGTATCATGATCGTAGGTGAGGGTAGGAACGTAGATCGACTGGAAATTCAAGGGCTTTGCCTTCTGGCTCAGCTCTCTCCCACCACAACAGACCGGTACAATGCCAGCTTCGCTGCAGACGTAGCACCAATCTGCCGATCAATCTCATGCTCCATCTTTCCCTCACTCGTGAACAAGACCCCAAGATACTTAAACTCCTCCACTTGGGGCAGGACCTCATCCCTGACTCGGAGAACGCATTCTACCCATTTTTTATTTAAGACCATGGTCTCAGATTTAAGTCGGGCGGACACAGTGCGACTTTTTCACTCGTAGCACTCAGCTTCAGCTCAAACTTTACGACTTCCTCACAGGGCAGATCTATCGAGTCATGTGCTCACACTGTACGACCCAGTTCTCGGATGCGACCTGACTGCTCACACTGTACGTCTGGTAGCAACACGTCGGACCTAAAAAATATGCTAAAAATAGCAGTTTTTACACAACACGTCAGACTTTCTTGTCTTGTTTTGCTTGTTGTCCTTCGGGAGTGCTGCAGATGAGGAAAACGAAATAAAGAAAGTAAATCTGTGTTTTGTGATCAGTTTAATCTGACATGAGCACAACAAACATGCTTTCTTGACAATACTTGTCATTGTGTGTAAAAAAAACGTGTAGAAATAAAAACAAACAACGTGTGTCATTAGCGGGCGAGCGGTTTTGATGCATGATTGCGCGTGCGCCTTGAGCGGTTCTGGTACTTTTTGGGTCGCAGCCGCTCGCTGCACCGCTTCAACCCTCACGAGGGACGAGCAAAATATCAAACATTCCAGAAGTCCGTGCTAGCTCACGATTGCTGATCGGTAGCTGGTCACGTGGTGTTAATCACCTCTCGTAACCCCGTGTATACTACACGACGCTCAGCGCAAAACTCGCCCCGATCTTGTGGAAAATCGGCTCAAAAAAGTTAAAAAGTCGCACAGTGTATGCCCGGCTTTAGAGAAGCTGATTGTCATCCCAGCTGCTTCGCACTTGGCAATGAACTGCTACAGTGAGAGCCGGAGACCATGTTCAGATGAAACCCAACAGAACTACATCATCTGCAAAAAGCTGACTCAATTCTCAGGCCACCAAAAAAGGATCCCCTCAACACCTTGGTTGCATCTTGAAATCCTGTCCATAAAAGTTATGAACAGAATCGGTGACAAAGAGCAGCCTTGGTGGAGTCCAACCTTCACTGGAAATGAACCCGACTTACTGCCGGCAATGCAGACCAAGATCTTACACCAGTCATACAGGGACCTAACAGCCCATATCAGAGGGACTGGTACCCCATACTCATGAAGTACCTGCCAAAGCCCCCCCCCCCCCCCCCCCCCTGCTAATGCAGGAGATAGGTGTAGGAGACTATTTTCATGTTCAGCATGCTGATTATAATCAGAAATACAATTTTAAAATGGGTTCTCAAACAAACAAAACACACACGCTTAATGGCACATGTCTGTGATAATAACCTTCAGAGAATGTTGTTAGACTGATGCTAATGGCCCAGCATTGGAAATCTTCAATTCTTTGTTCATAAAATGACATGAAGGACATTTACATGCCTGAAAACATTTTACGATTCCAGATGTATTTGGCGGTTTGATCAAATTTTACTTGAGTAAGAGGATGCAACAATTTCCTGACCTTGGTTTTTCTCCATGAGAGGCAAAGTGATGTCATCGCTGTGTTGTTTTCCACTCTTGGATTTTTTTGTCCCTCCTGAAGTCGTGGGCTTTGAAATTAAATAAAAGAAAAAGGGTTTTCTTTTACACAAATGTTTTTACCACACCTCAGGCAGAAAGGCTCATTAGGAATTTATTAACCCAACAGTAGTTTATAATGCACCTTTCTATTGTCTTTTGTTACAAGGGTATTATCAGATATACTGTAGTGAACAACTTGTGCCGTTTTAAAGGCAATGGAACGGTGTGAAATACCTTAAAGTGACTTTTGTTCCAGCCGGCTTTGATCAGAGTGGTTCTCAGCTCCTTGTAGGCCCAGATTGTCTGAAGCACATGAGAAGCCGCCTTGGTCTCTCGTGCAGATTGGCTGTCAAGAAATCATTGTGATGGTGTGGTAAATGATGTAAAACAGCTCCAAGACATTCCTGTCTCATTAATTAAAGTCCATGAATGCCCTGGGATGGTGATGCCCATTGTATCGGAAGATGCTGCTCTGAAACTGTCAGTGATATTAGCATTTTAAATATCAGTCTAATGCTTACCCATACAGTTATACAAAGATGCACATTTTTAGATTTACGTAAGAAATATGCATGTATTGGGATATATATGTATGAAGGAAAATACTGATACATTGAAATATCACAGTGTTTTGTGGTATGATACTGAATTAACATTTAAAAGCAGTGCATCATGTTTTTTTTTGAGAATTTATATGCTAACATTTACTGTTTTATTTTGTGCAGTGCAGTTCAATCTCCAACTGCTAGGTGGCAGCAGTTTTACCACCTTCATTCTGACATAACAACCAGATCTTGCAATAAGAAGCCTAAGTCACCCCGAGACCATGGGTGCCCGGAAGAATGGAAAAATAAATGCAAGTCAATGGGGCTAAAAAGGCTATTTTGCTAATCTCATTTGTTAAGCGCCATTGATTTCACATATGATGTCCTTTAATTTTATAGACCAATTCTGATGCCAAGAAAGCACTTATTTTGGAACGGCGGAAAAAGTTATTGTAGGTTTTGTGTGAAAAGATGTATAGAACTACAAATGTTCATCCCACCAAATTGATGTAATCGAACCAGACATGAGGAAGAGAAGATTAGTTTATTGAGCTTTAAATCCTTCTTCCAGGAGGACGAAGGAGCATTAAATGTAAAGAAAGCTGCAATAAATCTGGCCATGTGGTAAGTACCAAATACGGTAGGGTTGAAGATATTCTGCTGTGACGTCATATGTGTGGCGTCTGATTTGTTGTTATTTTAATTGCAAATTTTTACACACTAAAAACATTAAATAACAGGACATACATAGTCAAAACACACATTACTTTTAATTTAAATTAAGGTACAACATATCTGTGATTCAGGGCATGAGAAGAAGAAATTATCATTTCTATAATGCCTCTCAAGATAAAAATCACGAGGCACTTCACAAAAACAAATAATGTAAAAATATAAAAAAGAATTTAGAAAATGGTTAAAAATATATTTTAAATGAGCAAAATTTGACAATTGTGATTAAAAAATGCTAAGAAAGATAGAAAGTGAACAGGAAAGAGGGAAATCAGTGGATCCTGAAAAAGGTGGAATAGGTGGGGAGAGCAGAATAAAGAGAGAGTGGTGAAGAAGGTCATACAAAAGCCACTTTGAACAAGTGCGTTTTCAGCTGCTTTTTAAAGGAGTCCACTGATCTCAGGCTCAGGGGGAGAGAGTCCCAGAGTCTGGTTGCCACAGCAGCAAATGATCTGTCACCTTTGGTCTTTAGCCTGGTGCTGCACAACCAGTAGGCTTTGATCACTGGACCTCAGGGACCTGCTGGGGGTGTAGGGACTAAGAAGATCACCAATGTAAGATGGTGCTTGTCCATGTAAGGCCCTGTAGACCAGAACCAGGATCTTGAAATGAACCCTGAAGTTGACTGGCAGCCAATGAAGCTGGAGGAGAAGCGGGGTGATGTGGGTGTGTTTGGCGGACTTGGTCAGAAGTCGAGCACAGGCATTCTGAACCACCTGTAGACAGTTCAGGGAGGTTCTGCTCAGACACATGAAAAGAGAGTTGCAGTAGTCTAAGCGTGAGGAGATGAAGGTGTGGATAACTGTCTCAAGTTCAGAGTGGGACAGAATGGGACTCAGCTTAGTAATGTTACTGAGATGGAAGAAGGAAGAGCGAACAAGAGAACTGACATGAGAATCCAGGGTGAGAGCTGGGTCAAAGGTCATGCCAAAATTCCTGACGGAAGGTTTGGTGTGAGAAGCAAGCTGACCAAGAGAGTCTCTGACCTTGGGAACCAGCTTGTCTGGGGCACAGATGAGGATCTCAGTCTTATCTTCATTCAGCTGAAGAAAGCTCCCAGCCATCCAGGTTTTGATAGAGTCTAAGCAGGTGTGTAACAGCTGCAGCTTAGACATCTCATGGGGCTTAAAGGAGATGTACAGTTGGACGTCATCTGCATAAAGATGGTAGGAGATTCCTTTGAAGGAGCTCACGATGTGCTGAAGAGGAAGCAGATAGAGGAGGAAGAGCAGAGGCCCCAGCACAGATCCTTGTGGGACACCATGGGTAAGAGAGGTGGTGGAGGACCTAAACTTGGAGACGGCCACAGAAAAGGAGCGCTAAGAGAGATAAGAGGAGAACCACTCCAGAGCGGTTCCTGATAGGTCTACCCAGTGTCTCAGCCTCTCCAGTAGCAGGTGATGGTCAACAGTGTCAAAGGCTGCAGTCAGGTCCAGCAGGACCAGAACAGAACAGTCCCCTGCATCAATGTGAGTCAGAAGGTCATTAGAGACCCTAAGAAGAGCTGTTTCAGTAGAATGAGCTCTACGAAAACCTGAATGTAAGCAATCATTGATGTTATGTTCATCGAGAGCAGCTGTGAGTTGTTTAGCCACAACCTTTTCCAAGATCTTGGAGATGAACGGAAGTTTAGAGATGGGTCTGAAGCTGCAATGGTGAGAGGGGTCAAGACTCGGTTTTTTAAGAAGCGGGTGGATTACAGCGTTCTTAAAGTAAGCAGGGACCTGACCAGAAACCAGAGAAGCATTAATTATAGAGAGCACTCTGGGACAGATGGGCTGAAAGGCACTTTTAAACAAAGATGAGGGTAAGATGTTGAGGGGGCATGCAGAGGTCTTCATAGAGTTAACTAGTTTGGTTAACTCAGGCAAAGAAACAGGAGCAAAGCTATCTAGGATGATGGGCCTGGTTGGAGTCGGGAGAGGCAGCGATAAGGCTGAAGGAGAGATGCTAGATCTGACCTTATTGACTTTGTCCACAACAAAAGACAGAAAGTTCTCACAGTCTGCAACAGAGTGGATGGAGGTTGTAGGAGAGGCAGGAGCAGATTAGAAAATAGGGAGGAGTTTTAGGCTCCCTCTAACACTGGATGTGTCTTAAAACATTCTAGTCTGAGTTTTCTAATTAAATGTATAATATGTAAGAAATTTTACAGTAAAATAATCACCAAACAGTCTAATGTGTCGATCATGTTGGAAGGAAGGTTACACTGAGGGAGATTTCCTTTTCAGCTGGCAAGGGGAGTTGTCAGTTTTTCTGTTTCAAAAAAGCTAAAGAGTGGCTTACCCCCAAAATTCCACTATCTCCGCTCCGGCACGAACTCCGCAGCAAAAACGGTCCCGTTGTAGTCAATCAGAGCTGTTCCACTACTGCGGAAGTGCGGCGCAGTGCGCCGCCCGCCGTTCCGCCATCTGGCAAAAATAGGATCAACTCTATTTTTGCCGGATGGCGGAGCACCTCCGCAGTCAATGGACAGAAATCCCAACTGCCCAACAGGAAAGGGGGCAAGCACAACTTCCGTTATTTCACAATAAATCGACAAACAAAAAGCGTTTTTTGTTTCATATGCACAGGTTTAACAACTTTTAACAACTATTAATGGTGGTTGAACTTTAAATGCACAAAAATAAGCCATAAATACAGTTTCCACTATCAAAGTTGTCACACTTTGTTGATCCAAACACTGCTGATCTCTCAACACAAATGATGGGCAGATTAAGCAATTAATTTCGATGCTTCTCCCACACAATGGGTGTTTGGATCTAACTTCCATGTTTATTGCTCGGACTGTATCGCAAGATCTCAAAAATCCCGCGCATGCCTGTTTGCGCACCTCAGGTCTCCGCACCGGAGCGGAGCCGTTGTAGAGCAGGTACAGTATAATTTGAGTTCGGAAGCGAGCGGCAGCGGAGGGCGGGGGCGGAGCGGAGATAATGGAATTTTGGGGTTACCAAGATATATCTGATATATATATATATATATATATATATATATATATATATATATATATATATATATATATATATATATATATATATATATATATATCAGACATATATATCTGGTTTCTACATGATATCAGAAGGAGACTGCTTGTTTCTTTATGATGTCAGAAGGAGACTGCTTGTTTCTACATGATATCAGAAGGAGACTGCTTGTTTCTTTATGATGTCAGAAGGAGACTGCTTGTTTCTTTATGATGTCATAAAGAGACTGCTTGTTTCTACATTTCAGAAAGAGACTGCTTGTTTCTACATGATATCAGAAGGAGACTGCTTGTTTCTTTATGATGTCAGAAGGAGACTGCTTGTTTCTTTATGATGTCATAAAGAGACTGCTTGTTTCTTTATGATGTCATAAAGAGACTGCTTGTTTCTACATGATATCAGAAGGAGACTGCTTTTTTCAAAAAAGGAACATTTTAACTTTGTAATGAACCTTTAAACGTTTTTAAAAATGAACAATTAAACATTGTAATGAAAAATTTAATGTTGTAATGAAACTTTAAACGTTTTTAAAAATGAACATTTAAATGTTTTAATGAAGAATTTAATGTTTTAATGAACATTTAAGCATTTTAATGAACATTTGAACGTTTTTAAAAATGAACATTTAAACGTTTTAATGAAGATTTTAACGTTTTAATGAACATTTAAATGTTTTAATGAACATTTTAATGTTTTAATGAACATTTTAACATTTAAAAAAATGAACATTTAACCGTTTTAATGAAGAATTTAACATTTTAATAAACATTTAATCATTTTAATGATGATTTTAACGTTTTAATGAACATTTAAACGTTTTAATGAACATTTAAACGTTTTAATGAACATTTTAACGTTTAATGAACCTTTTTAACGTTTTTAAAAATGAAGATTTTAACGTTTAAATGAAGATTTTAATGTTTTAATGAACATTTAAACATTTAAATGAACATTTAAACGTTTTAATGAACATTTAAACGTTTTAATGAACATTTTAACGTTTTAATGAACCTTTTTAACGTTTTTAAAAATGAAGATTTTAACGTTTTTATGAAGATTTTAACATTTTAATGAACATTCAA